AAAAAACAAAAACAAGACTTAACTGTGTCCAATAAATGTCATTTTTTAATACTTTTGATCCACTCCGGTTTATTCTCAGGTTTCCAACTAAAGAATCGGGCTAACATTAGTGCACCAAAAAAGCAAAAACGAGGCTTAAAATGACCAATAAAATACACCAAAATACAAAAACCAAGGCTAAATTGACCAAATATACACCAAAAAACAAAAACAAGACTTAACTGTGTCCTATAAATGTCATTTTTTAATACTTTTGATCCACTCCGGTTTATTCTCAGGCTTCCAACTAAAGAATCGGGTTAGCTGCAAAGATCAGAAATAAGATTACACTTAAAAAAAGACTCTGTTTCCACCCTCTGCTGGCCTGAGTGACCCATCTTTTCCTCCCTGACCTCCTGTTTTTGGTGTGTTTCTGCAGGAGAAGCGTCGCGCTGAGAGGGCTGAGCAGCAGAGGGTTCGTGCTGAGAAGGAGAAGGAGCGCCAGGCCAGACGCGAGGTCCACAATCCTCCTCTCTTACTCATCTTAGAAACCACACATCTAGACCTCCGTCTCTTTAACAACTCTGCTTGAACCGGTTTGCGTTTGCAGGAGGAGAGGCGGATCAGGGAGGAGAGCGATGCCAAGAAGAAGGCAGATGAGGAGGCCAAGAAGAAGTCGGCCCTGTCCAGCATGGGTTCCAGCTACAGCAGCCACCTGCAGAAAGTGAGCGCGCACGTGCACGTGCACACACACACGTGCACACGCACAGCAGCCCGGCGTTCAACCCCGAGCAGGCGTTTAACCCCTTTAAAGCCCGATCCAAGAAAAATAGGAAGAATATTGGATTTTTTTTAGCCTGAAGTCTCTTTTTTGGCCCCTCAACAACATAAGAAGAAAAAAAAAAAGAAATTATTTTGATCAAATTAGGGTGCCGTACTGGCTGTTATCAGGTATATCTGAATGTGTACAACAGGGGTTTGAGCAGAGCTTTTTTACCACTGAACAGCTGTAAAAGCCGCCCAAAAACAGTATTAAAAGCACAAAAAACAGCTTTAAAAGCCCCAAAAAAACAGCTTTAAAAGATCCAAAAAACAGCTTTGACCCTTAAAGCCTGATCCAAGAAAAATAGGAAGCAATGTCCATACTTACTTGGATTAACTTGAGAACATAGGATAAATAATTATGATATGATAATTGATGATAAAGCAAAAGATAACAAAAAAAACTTTCCTTTAAAGCCTGATCCAAGAAAAATAGGAAGAAATGTCCATACTTACTTGGATTAACTTGAGAACATAGGATAAATAATTATGATATGATAGTTGATGGTAAAGCAAAAGATAACAAAAAAAACTTTCCTTTAAAGCCCGATCCAAGAAAAAGAGGAAGAACATTGGATTTTTTTAGTCAGAAGTCAGAATATGACACGTTTGGCATTTTAGGGTTAACCCCATCTCTGTGCATGCTGACCACTAGGCTGACCAGAAGAGAGGAGGGAAGAAAGAGACTGAGAGGGAGAAGAAGAAGAAGATCCTGGCCGCCAGACGCAAGCAGCTCAACATCGACCACCTGAACGAAGACAAGCTGAAGTAGGACTCACTCAGAATCCCAAAATTAACCAGTTAACCCATCAATGTGGACTTTAAACTGAATCCAGACACTGGTCACCGCTACAGATTCATGTCCAGATGATGTGGGATGTGATCTTCCAATCCACCAATGGAACTAATATGACTCAGATTCAACACTTTGTGGTTAATTACATCTTTTTGGGTGCATTATTTGCAGAAATTGGATGTTTTCCGTCTAATTTTTAGTCCACAGCTTCAGTTACCACGTTCAATAATTGACAACATAAAGATTTTGAAAACGTAGTCTCATCTTTAGCCTTTCACTCTTCTTCTTTTTTTACATTGCAAAAATTCGTGACGCCAAACCGTTGTGGAATTTTTTTTATTTTGAAGCAAAAGTCTGAGTCCATCTGAGGAAGTAAGAAATACAAAATGTATTAAAAGTGAAAAAAGGGAAAGGGAAAACTTCACGAAGTGAACCATACAACTATACAAGTGGTTCATATGACGTACCGAGCTGTCCTAAAGTAAAACAATTCATGGTGCATTTTATACCTTTTATACCATAAAGTCTGTCTTTAATTCTTTTTTTTTTCTTTTTTTTCCTTTTTTTTCTGTCTTTAATTCTAAAATAAGACATAAAGTCTGTCTTTAATTCTTTTTTTTCTTTTTTTTTCTGTCTTTAATTCTAAAATAAGACATAAAGTCTGTCTTTAATTCTTTTTTTTCATTTTTTTTTCTCTCTTTAATTCCAAAATAAGACATAAAGTCTGTCTTTAATTCTTTTTTTTTCTTTTTTTTCTGTCTTTAATTCTAAAATAAGACATAAAGTCTGTCTTTAATTATTATTTTTTATTTATTTTTTTTCTTCTTTTTTTTCTGTCTTTAATTCTAAAATAAGACAAATCTGTCTTTCCTCATGCATCTGCATCAAACAATCCTTAAGACAAAAGATTATTAGACAAAATAAGAGGGGACGTGGTTTCTCTGAGACCTTAAAGGAGTAAATAACCTTTAAAATCTTCAATTGTGGAAAGTTATTGGAGAGAAATTAAGAAAATAATTATCCATATATGGATTTCCCTAACATCAGTAACAACAGAGAATCCCTTAAGTGCCATTTACAATATTCCACTCTACTTTAAAGCTTCCTAAAGCTATCTAAAGCACATTTACTCACAGTTCTTGTATTTTTCCTGCAGGGATAAGATCAATGAGCTCTACGACTGGATGCGCCAGCTTGAGTCTGAGAAGTTCGACCACATGGAGAGGCTGAAGAGGCAGAAGTATGAGGTGCGAGGATAAGTGGCATTAACGGACGTGTATTTCCAATCAAACGTCTGCTTTAACGATGCTCACTGTCAAATTAAGCTGGACTAAGTGGGTCAGAATGAGTTGAGAGACTTATCAATTACACAAAAGGACTCATATACTGTAATATATCAATATAAAATATGTTTTAGTGAACTGAGACATTTGAATTATACGTTTATCCTATTAGCAATAAGATTCCACCCATTTTCAGGACGAATTTAAGGCTAATCAGGGTGCAATAAAAATTATTATACACCATTTTTATATTACTTTATGAACATTTTCATTGGAATTTTCCTGATATAATCCAAAAAACTTACACACTGGTGACTGTATATTGACACCAACTGTGAGTATGAATGTAATATAATGTAATATAGAATAATATAGAAGTAGGATTGATGAGTTTAAGTAGCTACATTGTCATATCTTTTGACAAATACCCAAAAAAATATGAAACTACTTTACTGAGTAGAACATAACTTGTTAAAAAAATTCTGAAATGTTAACAGTTATTTACAATTTAACTACATTTACTCCATTCAAAGTCCCCGTTCCATTGCTCTATTATGAGTTTTTTACCCTTTCTCATTTCTTCAATATAAAGTTCCTTTAGATGTACTTTGATAAATCAAGAAACCCATCTAAAAACGAACCAAACTTCTCAGGATTATCAGATTTCGGGAATCACGGGCAGGTCTCTTATCACCTTTAGAAATGTTAACAGTTATTTATTATTTACAATTTAACTACATTTACTCCATTGACAGTCCCCGTTCCATTGCTTTTTTTATGAGTTTTTTACCCTTTCTCCTTTCTTCAATATAAAGCTCCTTTAGATCTACTTTGATAAATCAAGAAACCCATTTGAAAACTAACCGAAATTCTCAGGATTGTCAGATTCCGGGAATCACGGGCAGGTCTCTCATCGCCTTTAGAAATGAACTCTCCATCTACTGTCTAATCTCCTCCAGGTTACAACCCTGCGTAAGAGAGTGGAGGAGCTCAGTAAATTGTGAGTAAAGTGTCAGGCTCGTTGCATGTTAGCATGAAGGGAAGTCCGAGGATCAGAAACGTGGAAAAAGGAGATAAGCCACCTTCAGACGAGAAAAGGAAGAGAAATCTGCACATTTCATGCTCTTATACGCTTATTTAAGTCACTTTTGAGGCAGTAAATAGAACCAAATATCCTTTCATGGAGCTGAATCTTCTGGGTAAGTTTGGTCGATGTCATATTGGATTGAAGCCAATGGGTTACTTTAACCCTTTAAAGCCTGATCCAAGAAGAAAAAAAAACTGAAAATAACTTTTTTTTTTTGTTTGAATTCTTTATTTGGTCTTTTAACAAAATATGTAAAAAGAAAAAACAGAAATACATTTTTTATATTAATAATTTATTACTATGCGATAAGTCAAGATTATTTTTTGTGTAGTCTAGTCCATTAAATTATGCAAAAGGTGTCAGACGCAAAACATTTCAGAAACCGTACGTATCAAATATGATACATTTGGCATTATAGGGTTAAAAAAGAAATATAAGGAGGATATTTTGAGTAAGAAGCAAGCAGCATATCAGGTAAGAGTTCACCTATTGCAGGTTTTCCAGCTGAATTCATCTAATGTCTTGTTGTTCCTCTTTGGGAAAACAAAAGGTCGAACCGAATATCATATTTAATTGGTTTAATTGGACAGTAAATGAGAAAGCCACCTACTCTGATCAGTTTAAATCTGAATCAGGGTTCAGGATTCGGTTTCAAATTCCTTTGCATGATCCCCTCTTGGTTTCCCATAATGCTTCAAGCCCGGATCTTCAGGCACGAGGCCTGAGAAAAAGGAGAAAAAGGGGTCCCTCTCCACAGGTAAAGGTGTGTATCCGTGTGTAAAAGCCGCTGTGTTGTTTCCAGGTGCAAATGTTCAGGAACCGTATCGATGAGATGCAGAGGCAGTAAGTACAGAAACCCTCTGTTAGCTAACAAACCAGCCATTTCATTTAACCCCCCCACTCTTCTGGGGTCCAGAAACCTAGTTTTAACTGATTATAAAAGATAAGAGTAGATAGATCAGTGTATTTTTAAATCAATAAACAAACATGGAAAATGGATGAATGTGAGATCAAAGAATGAAGGCAGTTTCACAATGTAAATAAGTATTATTTAAATCATATTAAATAATTAATTAAATAATTAAGTAATTGAATTTATTTAAGTTATTATTATTATTATTATTATTATTATTATTATTATTATTATTATT